ATGATGTTGACACCGCGCGGACGCTCGACCAGTTCCCACGTGCCCATGCCGATGAGGCTGCGGATCTCCTCGTCCATGGCAGCCTTCACCGACTTGCCCTTCCAGCTCGCCAACGCCTCCTTCACCGTCATTGTCGCGATGTCCCAGCGGTGATCAGGGTCGGCGTGCACGTCGGGGTCGAGCTCGGGTAGAGCGACATCGTCCTCTGTGTCGTCGAGCAGAGTACTGTAGGCCGTCGGCGGCAGACAAGCGTGGTAGCTCAGCTTCTCAGGCGGCTTGCCGATGTTGGAGCGGGCAGATCGTCGCGGTTTCACCTCTTCGACCGCAACCTCCACCACGTCGCTATCGTCAGACTGCTCCCCTGTTGACAGCTCCCCTTCATCTCCGCCGGTCGCACCGACGACTTCCACAACGTCGTCGCTCGACGAGTCGTCGTCGAACTGCTCCCCAGTCGGTAGCTCCTCTACCGACGGCTCCCCTGAGGTCGGCGCTTTTGCCGACGGCTTCTCTGCGGTCTGTGCCTCTGCCGACGGCGTCTCTGCGGTCTTCTTCGACGTCGACGACTCCCCTGTCGTCTGCCGCTTCCCGTCGCTGACCTTCTCGGCGTCACGTTGGCAACCGGCGATGCAACCGGTCGGCGACGCAGGCGACGCACCAAGCCTCCCCTCATCGCCGGCGACCGACAAGGATCCCTGAACAGGGGGAGGGGGGGAGGGGGTGACGTTGTTTGCGTCGTTCGTGGCGAGCAGTGGAGGGTGCACCGAGGAGGAATCGGTCGGCGGGGTAGAGGGCGTCCTCGGACTCGGCCCGTACTCCACCTTCCACATCTCCATCGACAGGGTCTCGTAGAAGATCTGTTCGACCGTCGTGACGACCATATTGTCCGTCAAGTCGAGCACCTCCCAACCCTTGCTCTCTGCCGACACTCCGAGGTGAAGACCCCAACACGCCCTCGGCGCTAACTTCCCGCCGCGCCACTGCTCGGGGACCATGAACTGCACCATGCAGCCCCACACCCGCGCCAGCGTCAGATCAGGTTTCTTCTCGAACAGCAGCTCGTGCGACGTCGTCCCCGAAGGTAGAGACGCCCGTTCGAGGCAATTGCGCACCCAGACAGCCTGGCGCAGAGCGAGATGCCACCAGTGGTGCTTCACGTCCATGTGCAGAAGCATCGTCCGCACGGCCTCGACGACCGTGCGCATCTCTCGCTCTGCCATCCCGTTCTGCTGCGGAGTATAGGGGCACGTTAGGTTGTGGAGGATGCCCTTGTCTTCGACGAGGTCGGTGAAGGCGCGACCGAGGAACTCCCCTCCGCGGTCAGAACGCAACATTTTCACCGTCTTCGATGTCTGTTGCTCCACCACTTTCAGCCACTTGTCGAAGACGACCAGCACGTCGCTCTTCTTCGCGATCGGCCGAACCCATACGCAGCGAGTCTTCCTGTCCTTCAACAGAAGAAAGTAGAGACTGCCATCGTTGGCATCCACTCAAAACGGCCCGCAGAGGTCGATGTGCACCACGTCGAGCGCATTCTCTGCGTCCGATCCATGGTCAGGGAGTGTGTGCCACGCAATCTTGCCGCCGACGCAGGAGGCACACGGCAGATCATCTGCGGTCGACTTCTTAATGTCCAGACTGGCAGCGACCTCATGCTGCGCTGAGCTCTTGATCGTGTCGACGCCGACGTACGCAAGCCGTGCGTGCCACATGTCTGGGGTCGACTTCGTCGCCGACGCGATCGTCCGCAGAGCCAACAACCTCCGTCGAAGTCGTCGTCGACTTCGTCGAGCAGGGGCGCAGGTCGGTGCAGAGAACTCTGCCGGAGTAGCGTGCTCGACCAAGGACATCGCCGGCTGAAGACACCAGCAGCATCTCTCCGCCGTCGTCCTGTAGCTTCACGCCGTTCTCCTTGAGCTGGCCTAAAGACAACAGGTTTGCCTGCACACCCGGAACGTAGAGCAAGTCGGGGACGAGGACCCGCTTCCCGGCCTCCCCTTGGACGTGGCGCACGTCGCCGCTCGGCTGCATGTCGACGAAGGCCTTCTTCGTCCCCATCAAATGGTGGGAGCAGCCGATGTCAAGCAGTACGACAGTGGGATTAGCATGCACAGCAGCAGCGAACGCCTTGAAGTCTTCGCCCGCCTCCAGCGCCAGCGAGATCGTCGGCTCCACCACGGCGACCATCGAGCACGAAGCCTCCTCGCCACGAGCATTGCCGCCAGAGGAGTCGGCATCCTTCGTCGAAGACGTCTTCGACACCTGCTCCTCCTTGCGCGGCTGGTTGTCTCGACGACGGCGCCCACCATCTGACTTTCTGCGGTTGGCGTCCCGGTCGTCGTCAGACGCATCTCGGTCGGGGCAGTCGTACGAGAGGTGGTCGGGAGCATCCAGATGTAGCAGCGGCGCCCTTCTCGACGCGAGTCACTGCCACTGCGATCACCTCCCTTCGCCGACTTCCCGCGGTTGGCGCCCTCCGTCGACTTCGCGTTCGACGACTTCCAGCCACCACCTCCGCCAGACTGCCCACGCTGCCCTTGTTGGCGTCCCGGCTTCGTCGGGGCGACGTAGTTGGACTGTGGAAGCGGTTCTGCGGGTCGCTCAGACTCCTGCATGAACTCGTCCTGGATGATGTGGCTCGAAAGCGAGTCCTCGTTCTGAGTCTCGCGCGTGCCGGGAACTGTCAGCATCCGGCGCATTAGATTGTAGCCCGCGGGGGAGGCCACTGATGACATGCGTGACATACGACGCCGCCGAGTAGTCGACGCCGACCATCCTCAGATCGGCCAAAACTCGCCGCGCTCGATTGCAGTATCCGGTCGCCGATTCCTGCTCCCCCATAAGAATGTTGGTCAATTTTTTCTCCAGTTGGCTGATGTAGAGGTCGTCGATTGCTTTGTAAGTGCGCATGATGTATTGCCACGCTTGGTAGCCACACGAAGTCTGCACGGCTTCAAAGCGACTTGCACCAGCGGCGAACAGCACCTCGAAATGACCATGAAGGTCAGAAGATGAGCAGCGCGAAATTCCGCCCAGAGATCGACGTCCTCTTCGTCCGGTGCCAACACGTCACCGTCGACGAACTTCTTTCATCTGGCGATCTCCAGCTGAGGTTCAATGGATTCTATCCATGTCATCAAGTCGTGTCGACCTTCGAGCAGCTTCGGCACAACGATCTTGTCCAGCGCGATGCCTCAGTCTCGACCAGCCGACACATGAGTCGCCGAAGTCAGCCTGACTCCACTCTGCTGGGGAGAACGACGTCGACCGTCGACATTCGAGCTTCCCGCTGCCGCCGAACGCTGAAATCGTGTCTGCACTCCGCCGATGCCAACATCGGCGGCCGCGGGTCACCCTCGTGCCTCCTTCACTGCCGACTTGGTCACCGTCGTCGACGCGCTCGTCGACGCCACCTTCGTTGCGTGTCGGTCGGGGAGAGGCGGACGCATCGTCCGCTCCAGTACGGGTCGTTGGATGATCGCGCGCCCAGCTGCGTGGCGTGCCCAAATATCATCTAACCGCACCTGCAGGGTATCCTCTACGCATGCTGCGACCTCCTGGTCGATCATGGCGGTCTAGACGGCTGCCGGCCTACAACGACTTAGGTAAGCTGCAAACGTCGGCTCCTATCTGAAGGTGCGGGGTGCGGGGTCATTCCACGCTCACCGCACCATGCGGAGAGACACTACACAATGGGAGTGGACTACGGAGGAGGGCACGGGGTTGTGCGGGTGATCGGAGCGTTGCACTAGCGTTCTTACTACTTGCTTTGTTCACAAAGAAGTTTGGCAAGAGTTTCACTAAGAAAATTGAAAGAACATTAGATTATAATGAGGCATGCAAACGATATAGCTAGAATGGCATGCAACACCTAGCAAGCACTCTGCAGGGCGAACTGCCAGCGCTGCAGAAGAGCGGCTTGCCAACGCTGCAGCAGAACGATCTGCCATCGTCGCACTGCAGGTGGTCTGCCAGCACTGAAGTCGCAGGTGACTATCTGCAGTCGCAGGTGACTTTCTGCGCACATGTGCGCACCTACCGAGTAGGTGCAGGTTGACGGTTTCACCGTCAGGCACATTGCGCAGGTGCAGGTTGACGATTTCACCGTCAGGCACATTGCTCAGGTGCCAGGTAGAAAACATGTCGTCGGTTTCGCCAGGTGCTCATCGTCGACCACGTGATGTCGTTCGGCAGGTCGAACTTCGCCAAAACCTCGTGGGCGAAGTTTCGCACACCTCCACAGAGGTTCGCACACCTCTGCTATTTCGGTCGAACAGCTCGACCCCATCTCCGGTCGAACAACTCGACCCCGCTCGGTCGAACAGCGTTCGCCGAGCAGAGCTTGTCGACCAGATTTCGTCACGCAGAGCTCTTCGACCAGAATCGTCGACCAGCGCTCCTCGACGGGGCTCTCCAACCAGAGCTCGAACGGAGCTCGTCGATCAGAGCTCGTCGATCAGAGCTCGTCGCGCAGAGCTCGTCGACCAGAGCTCGAACGGAGCTCTTCGATGCAAGCTCGAACGGAGCTTCGTCGACCAGCGCTCCTCGACGGACCTCGTCAACCATCGCTCCTCGACGGGCCTCCTTGGCCGCTGTCTTCGACCAGCGCTGCCCGTCGAAGATGTCGACCAATTTCTGTCAGGCAGAGCCTGCTCGACCGCTACCTCCGTCGAACCGCAGAAGCCCACTCGACGACCACTCCGTCGAGAACTTCTCGTCGACGGCGAGATCGGCTGCGCCCAAGCGAGGGCGGGACCTTTCTCTTCGACACACGATGCGCTCCATCTTCTCCAATTGGTCGAATGGTGCCATTTGGCAGAATGGGATTGGAATGGAACAGGGCAGATGATTGGGAACATATGACATGAGTGCTATGGTGTGTGGGTGCGTTCGTGCGTGCGTGTGTGAAATTGTGGAACTAGCTACATCCTCTGCTGACCTGGCTACACCCCTCTGCTGACCTGGCTACACCCTCTGCTGACCTGGCTACACCCTCTACTGACCTGGCTGAACCTATCAGGCCACACAAGAGACGGCGTAGTTGCCCATTGGCCGCACGCTTTCGGGGATGATGTCATCGCTGACATCACTGTACTGCAGCTTCTGCTCCCCCGTCCACTCGTCCTGACCACCATGGGAATGCAGTGGTGGGCGATGGGAGGATGAGAAAGCAGGGGTGGGCGAGTGCACAATGGTAAATGGAGGGGCGAGCAATGGGAGGGTTAGGGTGCTGGGACTTGGAATCTGAATCGCTGCAGACGCAGTGCAATGGTGCAGCCAATCAGTGACTCCCCTGTCACAAGCAAGGTGCTACCAGTTCCCTCTTCCTCCAGTGACATGGGTGCACGTGCATGCACTCACCCATCCACCCGCCATAGTGCACATTGGTGATGCGCTTCACTCCCCTTGACTCCCATTGACCCCCTTGACTTCCTTGACGCCTGCTGACTCACAATGCTCTGTGAGGACCGGTCGTTGCGTCGCAATGTTGCCAGGGGCAGGAAGAACTCCTCGTCGCTTCCTGGAAGCTTCACTCGCAGGGCCCTCAGGGCTTCGTCATACATCACTGCTGTGGCGACTGGATTGGCGGGGAAGAAGGTGAAGGAGTGGGGGGAGGGAGTGGGGAGGAAGAGGAGGGAGAGGAGGGTGACGAGGCGTTCAGTGACTTGCCCAACCCGGCCGCTCCATCCGTCTATGACTTGACACCGTACTGATCAATGCACCCCATCTTTATTCACCCCCATACCCATGTTTGTTTCACACCCCTTGCTCAGGCACCTCACATCACATGCTCCCACACAAGCCCGCCAGCACGGCCTCTCCTCCCTCACACAAAGCAGCCCTCGGGGCGTATCTCAGTTCGGGTCATAGAAGCACTTTGGGTCATAGAAGCACTTTGGGTCATAGAAGCACTTTGGGTCATAGGACGACCAATGGTATTCTAGTAGTGTAGCTGAAATGCGCCCTACTGGTCGTCCAAGAATATCGAATGACCCAAACAGTGCCTATGACCCAGAGTGAGATACGCCCTCAGTGTTGAGCTCTGAGTGGCGATGCACCCAGCAGCTCCACAGCAACACACCCAGCAGCAGGTCAGGTGAGCTAAGTTATCAACTCACCCTGCTGCCGCAGCTGGGCGCACTGCTGCACCACACACGTGCCCACGTCACCACAGCAGCCCACCCACCCAGCAGCAGCGCACACAGAAGCAGTAAGCCCTCAATTCACCCTGCTACCGCAGCTTGGTGCATTGCTGCACAACACATACCCCCACGTTCGTGAACGTGCGCGCCACCTCGCCTCAAAAGCAGGTGTGGCGTGGACTCACCCTGCCCCACAGCGGCTCAGGTATTTTAGCAGCAGCCAGGGCGTGCACTCACCGTGCTGCCACAGCTTGGCACACTGCTGCACCACACACGCCCCCACGTCCGTGAACGTGCGAGCCACCTCGCCCAATGGGTCCTCCACCACCTCCGGCTGCCCGCTGTCCCCTGCTGCTGACAGCTGGCAGTAGAATATTGGGGGAGCATGGAACGGATGGGGTTGAGCATGGGAATGCATGGGCGGGGCATGGGGGCTTGGGGGGGTCATGGGACGCATGAGGAGAGCATGGAAGGCATGGGCGAGGCGTGTCACACAGGAGGCGGCAGAGTATGTGGGGAGAGGAGTGGGGCCGGGTGTGAGTGGAGAGAATTTGCGGGTTTGAGTGCATGGAGCTATGGGAGGGGAGAGAGGCGTGATCTCGAAGCACCCTACTCTAACCGTCAACTGTCAGGTCATTGGTCGCTTCACCAAGGCCATCACCAAACGCAACCAAAATGAAAGATACCTCCGGGCACCGTGGGGTACCGTGCCACACCATGATGCACCGTGGGGTACCATGCCACACCAACCGTGGGGTACCATGCCACACCATGATGCACCGTGGGGTACCATGCCACACCAACCGTGGGGTACCATGCCACACCATGATGCACCGTGGGGTACCGCAGCGCACCTCGGGGCGGATGGGCAGTTCAAAGAGGTGCGGGATGCCAAACTGCGCCACCACCTCGCTGCCCGACCCCTGGCCAAAGGGGAAGTAGCGCTTCCCCTCCGCTTCGAAATATGCCATGTTCTCCACCACTGCCACACACGGCACCTGACAGTTATGGGAAGGGGGGAAAGGAAGGGGGGCATTGGGATATGGGGGCATTGGGTGAAGGAAAAGCAGCGCTTCCCGTCCGCCTTGAAGAACGCCATGTTCTTTACCACTGCCACACACGGCACCTGGCATGGATGGTGGGGAAGGGTAGGTGTGGGGGTGTGGGGAGGGGACATTGGGACATGGGGACATGCGGGAGTGGGGGCATGGGGCATGAGGGCGTCAAATTAGAAGTAGCGCTTCCCGTCCGCCTCGAAATAGGCCATGCTCTCTACCACTGCCACACATGGTACCTGGCAGTTATGAAAGGGGGGGGCATCGGGGCATGCAGGTATGGGGGCCGCATCAACAAAGCATGGAGGTCTGAAGGGGAATGTGGGGTCATGACAAGGTGCCGTCACTCACGGAATCTGCGACATGAGGCGTGTGTGACATTAAACGGCGAGCGATATGACATTGAGAGCGTGTGGGGCTGACCTTGAGCTTGGAGAACATGCGCACGCCCTTGGCCACGTCAATGAACGCCAGCTTCTGTGGCGTCGTCACGATCACTGCTGCTGTCAATGGCACCACCTGGTGGGGGGGGGGGGGGTAGTGCAGCGGGGCGCGGGGCGGAGTGTGAAGGGTTAGAAGCGAGCGGGAGGGAAGGGAAACGGGAAGGGGGTTGCAGCAGCGGAACCTTAGGGTACAGGGCAGTGGCAGGGGAGTGAGCGAGTAGACTGAGGGGAGGATGTGTCTGGCCATGTGCGGCAGCAGCACCAAGGGAGGCCTCCCTCACCAGGCAGAGCATGCTGACGTGGCAGAGCATGCTGACGTGGCAGAGCACGCTGACCTGGCATAGCATGCTGACCTGGCAGAGCGTGCTGACCTGGCAGAGCGTGCTGACCTGGCAGAGCGTGAGCTGGATGTCTCCAGTGCCAGGCGGCATGTCAATGACGAGGTAGTCAAGCTCCCCCCAGTCCGTGGTGGTGAGCAGCTGATTTATCACCCCTGATACCATGGGGCCCCGCATGATTGCACTGCCCTGCACCACACAGAACCGCACAGAGCATCGCACATGGTAGGTGCACAGATCATGTTTGGGGTAACGAGATTAGAACCGACAGACCTACCCACCGAAAGAAACAGAAACCAGCATAAATCAAGCAGCCCACCTGGCAGGCCAGCAGCAGCACGGACCTGCCTAAGCAGGCGTGTGACAGACCGACCTGGCCAGCGAAGCCAAAGGAGACGAGCTTGACGCCCAGGTAGTCCGTGGGCATGATCTCCCTCGTCTCCGCATCCTACGCACCGAGAGACGTGGGGTGAGGGGCGAGGGGCAAGGGGCGAGGGGAGAGGGGAGAGGGGCGCGGAAGTGAGTTTTGAGGCGCCTCAAAACTCACCGCTTGACGCCCAGGTAGTCCATTGGCATGATCTCCCTCGTCTCCGCGTCCTGTGTGCGCCCGCAGGGGGGTCGGTTAAGAGGAGATGGGCCAGCCAGGGGGGATGGGTTAGGGGGACATGCGGGAGGGGGCCGATGTGAGATGAGAGTGGGAAAGAGGCGCAGAGAATGATTTGCAGTGCCTTTGATTTGCAGGCTGTGAGAAACGGCACTGAGGTAGCAGCAGATTGGAGAAAGGCGAGGGAGGCAGGAGGGGATGGGTGGGAATTGAGAGTGGTGGAGGGAGGAACAGGGGGCGGGGGGGTAGGTATACAAACAGAACCCATTCCTTGGTCCCCTACGCCACTCCGCCCACCCCCACGCCACTCCCACCCACCCCCCCACACCACACCACTCCGCACACCCCCACGCCACTCCCACCCCCCCATACCACTCCGCACCCCCCCTCACCACGCACCATGCGCAGAACGCGCAGCTCGGGCGAGATCATGGTGGGCAGGGAGGGCCCGTAGATGACGGCACCTGAGTCAACTCAATCATCACCACAACCCGTACCACTCACTCACCATCCCCAGCACCACTCTCACCATCCCCAACACCACTCTCACCATCCCCAGCACCACTCTCACCATCCCCAACACCACTCTCACCATCCCCAGCACCACTCTCACCATCCCCAACACCACTCTCACCATCCCCAGCACCACTCTCACCATCCCCAACACCACTCTCACCATCCCCAACACCACTCTCACCATCCCCAGCACCACTCTCACCATCCCCAACACCACTCTCACCATCCCCAACACCACTCTCACCATCCCCAGCACCACTCTCACCACCCCCCACACCTCTCGCACGAACCATGCGCAGAACACGGAGCTCAGGCGAGACCATGGTGGGCAGGGAGGGGCCGTAGATGTCCGCGTCAAAGATGCCCACTCCCACCACTCCCCACCCTCACCACCCTCCCCCCCACACCCCTCACCCCTCACCCCTTAACACTCACCATGCGGAGGACTCTCAGCTCAGGAGACACCATGGTGGGCAGGGAGGGCCCGTAGATGTCCGCGTCGAAGACGCCCACCCGCGTGCCCATGCCTCTATGCCTCTTACCACCCCCCCACACACCCCCCCCTCCCTGCCTCTCACCATGCGCAGAACACGGAGCTCGGGAGAGACCATGGTGGGCAGGGAGGGCCCGTAGATGTCCGCGTCAAAGATGCCCACTTTAGCGCCCATGCCGTGCAGCGCGTAGGCTAGGTTCACTGCTACCGTCGACTTGCCCACCCCGCCCTGCCATGTGCCATGTGCAGTGGATGTGAGATGGGGGGGAGAGGGGATGGGAGGGAGAGGGGAGGGGAGGGGAGGGGAGGGAGAGGGGAGGGGAGGGGAGGGAGAGGGGAGGGGAGGGGGGGAAGAGAGGAGGGGAGGGGAGGGAGAGGTGAGGAAGAGGGGAGGAAGAGGGGAGGGAGAGGGGAGGGAGAGGGAAGGGAGAGGGGAGGGAGAGGGGACGGAGAGGGGAGGGAGAGGGGAGGGAGAGGGGAGGGAGAGGGGAGGGAGAGGGGAGGGAGAGGGGAGGGAGTGGGGAGGGATGAGCAGGCGCAACGCAGTGCGCCCATGCCGTGCAGTGCAGCGCGTACGCCAGATTCACCGCTACCCTCGCCTTGCCCACCCTGCTCTGCCCATGCGCCGTGCCATGCCGTGCCACGCCGTGTTGTGCCGTGTTGTGCCGTGTTGTGCCGTGTTGTGCCGTGTTGTGCCGTGCCAGGGGCAGAGGGGCGACGGGTGGAGTGCGAGGGGTGGCAGAATGGGTGAAGGGAGGGGGAGGGACAGAGACAGTGGGGCAGCGCGGTGAAGGATGGAAAGGGGGGAGGGGGAGGGGAGGGATGAGAGGGTGCAATGCAGTGCAGTGCGTTCATGTGGAAGCGGGCGAGTGGGGAGGTGGGCGAGTACAAAGAGGTGGGCGAGTGCAAAGAGATGGGCGAGTACATAGAGGTGGGCGAGTACAAAGAGGTGGGCGAGTACAAAGAGGTGGGCGAGTACAAAGAGGCGGGCTAGGTGTACAAAGAGGTGGGCGAGTGCAAAGAGGTGGGCGAGTACAAAGAGGTGGGCGAGTACAAAGAGGCGGGCTAGGTGTACAAAGAGGTGGGCGAGTACAAAGAGGCGGGCTAGGTGTACAAAGAGGTGGGCGAGTACAAAGAGGTGGGCGAGTACAAAGAGGTTGGGACAGAGGGAGGCGGCGAGAGCAGAGCACAGGCAATGGCTCACCTTGCAGCTGGACACGGCGATGATGTTGGCCACTCTCTGCAGGCCACGTGGCACCTCCTCAGCCACGAGTGGCTTGGGCGGCTGGGCGGTCATGGTGAGAGAAACGGTCTTGACCCACGGCAGCGACCCCACGTACTCACGGGCCTGCGACTCGAACTGGAGGAGGGATGCACACACGTCGGGGGACAGGCACGCAGGCGCAGGTGCACGCGAGGGAGGAGGGGAGGAGGGGGGAGGTGGGGGGGAGGGGGGGGGTCACAGGTGGTGAGGGGCATTAACAAAAGTGGTGCTGGGAGAGAGAGGCGTGTGGGGAGGGGAGGAGGGGGGCGGGCGGGGGGTTCACGGGTGGTGAGGGGCTCTGACAGGAGTGGTGCTCGAGGGGCGTGGGGAAGGGTAGGCAGGGAGGCATGGAAGCAGAGGAGATAGAACGGTTGGCGGTTCTGGTAAAATGGCCTCATCAAGCAGCACTCATCCTCGTTATAGAGCTCACCGAGTCTTTGACGGGGCAGGCGGGCGTGGTGAGCTCCATGTTGAACGACACAGAGCCCTCCGCCTCGTCCACTTGCAGCTCCTTGATGAAGCCGCACGCCACTATGTCCGCCCCCAGGTCCGGATCCAGGATGCGCCTCAGCTGCCCCAACACCTCGCCCTCGCGCTGCTGCTGCTGCGCCGCTCCTGGGGAGGGGAGGGGGAAGGGAGGGGGAGGCAGGGGCAAGGGAGGGGGAGGGGGAGAAGGGAAGGAGGGGGAGCTCCTTGATGAAGCCACACGCCACTATGTCCGCCCCCAGGTCCGGATCCAGGATGCGCCTCAGCTGCCCCAACACCTCCCCCTTGCGCTGCTGCTGCCCCGCGCTCGGAGCTGCGGGGGAGGGGGAAGTGAGGGGGAGGGGGATGGGAAGGGGGGAGGGAAGGGAAGGGAGGGGGACGGGACGGGGAGGGGGAAGGGAAGGGGAGGGGGACGGGAAGGGGAGTGGGAAGGGAAGGAGGGCGAGGTGGAGAGGGAGGAGAGTTGTGGATTGGCGCAATGTCAGCTTTCAAATTCGAATGTGAGATGCGACCTCGTTACACAACAACCCCCCCCATTGCGCTGCTGCTGCCACTGGTGCTGGTGTTGGTGCTGGTGCTGGTGTTGCTGGTGCTGGTAGTGGTGAGGAAATTGTACGAGGGGGAATGGGTGGTGGAAGGAAGAGGGGGAATGGGTGGTGGAAGGAAGAGGGGGAATGGGTGGTGGAAGGAAGAGGGGGAATGGGTGGTGGAAGGAAGAGGGGGAATGGGTGGTGGAAGGAAGAGGGGGAATGGGTGGTGGAGGGAGGAAGAGGCGACAGTGACAGCAGGAGGGAAGGGGCGGGAACGGAGAAGGGGTTGACGTGTAGAGGAGGAGCACTGGGATGGGATCGGCCTACGGTCTTGTGAAGGGCCCCAGGCGGGGATGCATGGGAGGTTATGCATGCGCTCACGCTCACCTGCTGTCGAACAACCCCTTTCACCTTAGTAACTAGCGACTAGGCTTTTTCAACAAGGGGAGATGGAGATACGGCAAAGGGGTGGAAAGGTGTGCTCACCGGTTACTGTGCAGATTGCTGGTTCGGCGTCAGCAGCCTGCTGCAGTGGTGCCACGTGGAGCTCTAGGGTCTCGAGTCCCTTGAAATGCACGCCGAGAGGCATGCACGTGTGGGGCACGTGACCCTCCGCATGTCATTGTCATCACTTTCTGTTAAAGTAGTTTTAGAGAATTCTAAATAATGACTCCAACCTTGCCGAGCGGCCTGCGCGTGTGGGACACGTGACCCTTCGCATGTCCTTGTCATCACTCTCTTTTTCAGATTCGATCGTGCCGCAGGAAGCTAATGATTTCATTCGTGGATTGCTCACTCACGAAAGATGTGACTCTTGACGATATTACGTAACGGCTAGCCGTCAAACGCGTCATTACCGGCTGTGGCCATCCCCGCTCACCTGCGTCGCCCGGCGCTGCCTGCGCGCTGCATCGAAGCGACTCCCCGCGCCCACCCGTCCGCGCGCCAGCTGCTGCGCCTTGCCGGGACGCCGCCGCCGACACGGACGCGGACGCCTTTCCGCGCACGAGGCCAGGAAGCTTCGTGACTGGTCGCAGCGGCGTCGCATGGGAGGACGATCGCACGGCTTCACCTGCGAGCGGGAAGACATGCGACGCGCAGCGGAAATCGACGTGGCGTGTGTTGTTTGGCGACGCGAAGGATGGGGAACAGGCAGTGGGTCTCGCTGCTGTGAAATTGGAATGAGTGCGGGGATGGCACGAAGATCGGCTCTCACCTGCCAGCTGTGACTGTAACGAGCACGGAGCTCTCAAGGCGCTTTGCAACAACTGCTGAATCGCCGCCATGCTCCTCCGTCAGTTACTTTCAGAACAGGCCACCCGCCCTTGAATGAAGACGCCGAGACGCTAAAAGAAAATACTTCAACTCTACAATGCGACGGTTCAACCTGTTGGGACCGTGGAGTGGAGGGTGGTTCTGGACGCACGGCAGACGGAAGGAAGCTGCTGGAGCGCAAGAGGAGTGAAGTGAAAAGGAGGATTATGCCTTGGGTTGGGAACTTCAGGGAATTGGGATGATCGGGTTTGTTTGTTAGCGGGCACATGCTGGAGTTGGCGCTCATCCGTCATCCGTTCACGCACCGAGTGTAGTGAATTTGCGCTGGGATTGGCGAAAGCAGGACATGTGACACGTAGGACGGGGCTCTTGGAGAAAATTCCCGGCTCTGGGAGTGCCACATCAGCACATAGAGCTTGCGAAACCAAATGGGTGCTACCCCAGGGGTTGACGACAGAAAGGTGCCCGTGCGAAAATGGCAATTCTCGCAGACAATCTTCTTGTTTGAAGGGAACGATCAATTGCGCAACACTGTTGCCGCAACAATTTCAAATTCCTTCTCAGCCAGCCTCACTACACATAGCAATGCTCACCATTTCTTAGCCAATTGAGTTCCCTCTAAGAAAATCTTCTAACTCCTTGTTGCGCATCACACCCACGGTGTACATCTCTGTTCACGGGCTCGACCGTTCTTCGCCCGTTACTGGTTAAAAAAATTCGCCACCACGCGCGCTGTTTTTGCCAAACCTTGCACTGTTGTACAAGGCCGGATCGGCCTACACATCGAGATTAGCCCGAACCTCACTACCAACACTACTTAGGCTAGCTCGTAATATCGCGTTACCGTTTGCATCGTTTCGCTATTTCATGTTCACTCATGCTTTTGCTCACACTTGTTATATTTTGACCCCTTGGTGCAATCCCCATTTCGTTTGTTTAGTTGCAACCGTAACGCTTCGTATTCGGAGCCTCGTCCTTTCGGACCACACATTCTTTTCTGTTATCAGCCCCCCTCGTTTTGATTTGTTCACTCGAAGGAGCAGACATCCCTCAACGCAGTACGAGCTGCTGTCCTCATACTCTCACGCAAGCACGAACAGTCACGGATGCGCCTAATCGATAGGAACACCGACGCCCTTCGGAATGGCAGACCGCATCGACCTTGCGAAACTCACGCATGAGCGCCTGGACGCGTTATTGTATCAACTGCGTAACAATATATAAAAAATCGCCATATTTACGGCAGAACGTGAATCCCTCAAGCGCGCGTCAAATCATGCACATGCATAAGCACCACCAGCAGCACCGATAGTTACAACACTGTCCTGACGAGAGAGCGTGAGACCACGTTCGACCGCTGCCAGCAATGGCGTCGCGCGCGAAGAAGCACACGATGTACATAGCACGACAAACTTTGAGGGAACGACTGTGGTCTGGTTTCTACGCAAAGATCGCCTGCCGATAGACCTGCACTGGGGATGCCAGATAGTTCTTCAGGGAGGGCTACATGCACTCTAGCCTGGGAGGTTATAGGCACGCTCACCCCCTATTTAACAAGCCCTTTTATCCCAGCCGTTAGCAACTGGGATTCTAACATGGTATCACAGCGAAATGTCTCTGGTTCAAGTCCCCATGTGCGCACATGCTCGCGCCACTGTCGCTGCCGCGGCTTCCGTATCCTATGGCATCCCAGTGAGGGGGGGTGTCGGAAGACCTACACTGGGGATGCCAGATAGATCCTCGGGAAGGGCTACAGACACGCTACCCGAGGGGGTTATGGGCGTGCTCACCCACTATTTAACGAGTTCTTTTATCCCAATGGTTGGCGGCTGGGATTCTGCCATCGCCGCCGCATCAACATTGCGACGATAAACAATGACTTCGCCATCACAACACCTTTGCCGCTCAAGCCACGGCGCCCTCCATGCTTCGACTCGAGTCAATGGGGTGGTCTAACGGTTCGGTCTTGGATCTTCACGATGAACGTCGATATGTCGTGTCGCTACTCCGAGGACCTGCCATGGATGGGTGGTGCGTCACCGTCACTGCGCTGAGCGAGTACGAACCGCTGCCGCAGAGGGAGGTACCTTCCGGACCTACGATCCCTTGGGCACCATCGTACTGACCCAGTATCGCACTTGGGATGCATGGTGTGCAAGTCTACGCCGGGAATTTGAGCCGATCGCGGCCTCAATCTCGGCGCGTCAGAAGCTGCGTACTTGGCGTTAGTAAGGATCGGTTTAGGACTACACGAGCGGGTTCCTGGCAATGTTCAAGCTGTCAAACTTATATGACATAGTCTGTGTAGGCTGTAGTGGGGTAGTCAACATGGGGTACAACACTTTTAGCTTTTCCTACTTGTACCCACCTGCTTGCTAATTCAATCATTCGTTCCTTCTCATTTCTGACATGGTTTCAGAGCAGGTTCCCTAGTGGGAACGTTTTTTTTAGGGCCCACCACGATTTTTTTTTTCCTGCCCTGCCCGAAGCGCGCCTCGCGCCTGCCTCACCTGCGCCGTCGCGCGCCCTGCCCTAGTGCCGCCCGTCGCGGCCCTGCCTTCTCGGCCCGTCGCGGCCCTGCCCTGTCGCCCGTCGCGGCCCTGCCCTGTCGCCCGTCGCGGCCCTGACCTAGCCACCCGTCGCGGCCCTGCCCTGTCGCCGCCTCGTCGCGGCCCTGACCTCGCCGCCTCGTCGCGGCCCTTCCCTGCCGCCACCCGCGGCCCTGGCTTGCCGCCCGTCGCGGCCTGACCTCGCCGCCCGTCGCGGCCCTGACCTCGCCGCCCATCGCGGCCTCTGCCCTGCCGCCACCCGTCGCGGCCCTGCTCTACCGCCGCCCAGTCGCGGCCCTGCCCTGCTGCCGCCCTGTCGCGGCCCTGCTCTGCCGCCGCCTCTGCCCTACAAGCCGCCCCAGTCGCGGCCCTGACCTAACCGCCAGCTGCGGCCCTGCCCTGCACCCGCCCCTGGTAAGCACCCGCGCCGCCCAGCCGAGCCGCGCCGCCCAACCGAGCCGCGCCGCCCAGCCGAGCCGCGCCGCCCAGCCGAGCCGCGCCGCCCAGCCGAGCCGCGCCGCCCTAACGAGCCGCGCCGCCCTACTGAGCCGCACTGCCCTGCCCGCGCTGCTCCTGCTGCTACTGCTGCTTCTGCTGCTACTGCTGCTTCTGCTGCTACTGCTGCTACTGCCGCCATGGCTAGCCCCAATGTTCTTACCTTTGATGCTGAGGGTCGTGCGGTTGACTTCGACGATTCGGTAGACGACCTACAGCTCTTTCTTCAGTGCGACTCTAAGGACGGAGTCTCCCTTTTCGATCACACGTCCGGTGTCTCCCCTGCACATGCAGCCACTGCTGACAGTACGGTTCGCTCGCAGTGGACTACTCGTGACGCTGTTGCTCGTCTTGCTGTTCGTAGTCACCTGCCGTCTGCTGAGCGCGCGCACTTTGGCCAGTACAAGACTGCTCAGTCTTTGTACGACGTTGTAGTAGCGCGCTACTCCTCCCCTGCCACTGCTGCCCTCAGCCGCCTCATGCTGCCGTACCTGTTCCCTGACCTAGCCGCCTTTGCCATAGTCGCCGACCTCATTACTCACCTCCGCACTAGTGACGCCCGCTACCGCGCTGCGCTTCCCACTGAGTTCTGTGCCAAGAACCCCCCCCCCATGTACATCACCCTCTACTACCTAGTCACCCGTCTCCCTGACTCCCTTTCTTCAGTTAGGGACCACTTTCTCTCCCTTTGCCCCACCGAGCTCACCGTCGACCTGCTAGAGGAGCGCCTCACTGCAGCTGAGAAGAGTATCGTTGCTGTAGGTGCTTCTCGCGGCGACCCTCGCGCCCCTTTCTTTGAGGGGTGTTCCCCCGTCCCCCTTCTCCCCTCTGTTGCTTCTGCTGCTGCTGTCGACCTCGTTGGCACTGAGGAGGTCGGGGCTGCGTCTGCCCCTAGTGGGAGGCGCCGCTACGGCAAGGGCAAGGGGGGCAAGGGTGGTGGAGGGGACGGTGGGGGCGGCGGTGGAGGCGGTGGAGGAGGCGGAGGGGGTGGCGGTGGAGGTGGGGGTGGTGGCGGGAGTGGGGGCGTCGGTGGCGGCGGTGGGGGTGGTGGAGGCAGTGGTAGCGGCGGTGGAGGCAGCGGCAGCGGCGGTGGAGGTGGCGGCGGCGGTGGTGCTGGTCGAGGTGGAACCGCGCAGCGTGGAGGCTTTGGCGAAAGCCAGCGCCAGCAGCAGCCGCGTTCCCGTGAGACCCTGTCGCCCAAGCAGCTTCGTGAGTGGTACGCTGGGCGTGGGAGGTCTGTGGGTGC